ACTCTGATGACTTTTAGTCCCTGCTATTTATTTTTTATGCTTTTGGACTTATCTTATGCTTCTATTTTGCTATGCTACTTTGGATATTTTGCATCCATAGGACTCTAGCTTTATGGACTATAGTTGCTTAGATTATGGACTATTATGAACTCTTGTGGATTATTATGTTTTCTTCTCGCTTTTTGCATGAATTATTTCAAGATTTCTATTTATCCACTCATGCTTTTTGATGTTGTCAAAGGGGGAGAAAGATACATAAATTGAGAAAATCATAAGCATATATTAAGGTAAAGAGGGGGAGAATAAAATTCAAATATAAAAGGAAGATTAGATGACACCTTGTATATCAATCATATATTAAGGGGGAGTTTCAATACTATACTTGTCTAAATACATGCTATACTAATCCTTTTCTCAATTTGAGTTTGTCATCATCAAAAAGGGGGAGATTGTGGAACCAATGCACTCTATGAAAAGAATATAAAGGTTCAACGATTTCGATGATAACAAACATGGAAAGAAAGCTTCAAGGTGAAACCATAAAAAAGAAGTCTAAACAAGATCAAGACTCAAGCTTCAAGAGAAGTCTCTAAGTCCAAACTCAGAGTAATATATTGTAGGACTTAGGATTATTTGTAAATTGATTCTTTACAAGAACGAAGCTCAAAGTATTTTTTAAATACATGCATTAAATCATCGTTTGACATTCAAATACATTCTTAACATGAAAACATACTTTTCAATGTTCATAAAATGTTTAAACAATATTTGAAAATGATGTGAATCAAGAGAAAACCATTTTAGGGCGAAAACCAACCTTTCAACAGGTTGGTAATCGATTACCCTTCATGGTAATCGATTACCTACTGTACAGAGACAAAAATAACGTGGGCCCTCTATAAATAGAGACTACTGTTCCCATTGATGGCACACACTTATTGATCATCATTACTCATTAATTCTCATCCTATTTGCATTATTCTTGTCTTCTTGATCATAAATTCTATTTGAGCTTTATTCTTATGAGAGTGTCATATACCATTGTTCTTCAACTTGTGTTATTTGTACTTCGAGAGTACTTAGCCATTATTAAACACCTTCCTTGATTACTTGAGTAGCTAGGGGAGTGAACCCTACACACTTGAAAGGTCACCAAATTCCTAAGAAAATTTGGAGTGAAAAAGTCTAAGGCATCAAGAGCCCGAAGTCTTGAAAAGTTGTAGTGGTTTGTCAAGCACCCTCAAGCTTGATAGTTAGTGAAAAGAATTGATCGAGTGGCTTCAGTCTGGACGTAGGTCACGGTGGTGGTGACCGAACCAGGATACATCTAGTTTGCAATCTCTCTAACCTTAATCTCTTTATTTAAGTATTAAAATTGCATCTTAGATTGTCTTTATATATATTCGCTTGCTTACTTTGTTGATCACTACACTTGCTTTTACAATTAGACATTTCCTTATTAAATCACTTTATTGAAGAAATAGTCTTTAAAATATCAAAGGAGGCACTTTGCGAAAAGATTTTGTAAAACTCAATTAACCCCCTCTTGAGTATTGAAGCCACCTGTCCAACACCTTCAACTAAAGTGTACAAAATAAAATGAATTGAAAAGTTCATAAAGCTCGCATGGTTTGATTTTTTATCAGTTATATTTTTATAATTTTTTATTTTATCAATTATCTCTGTAATTTTTTTCTATTCAAGTCCACCTTTAATATTGTTAAAAATTAAACTAATTTTGCCATTTTACCCTTAAAACAAAAGAAAAGGCACACTAAGGGGGTGTATTGGATTTAGATTACAATGAATTTTAATGGATTGTTTTTGGACAAAAAATCCGTTGGTATTCGATTAGGATTTTAATGGATTGAGAAAAAATCACGTGGGATTCGATTAAGATTTTAAAGGATTATTTTAGAATCTGTCCAAATCTTTTGGTATTCAATCAAGATTTTAAATAATAGAATCACAATCTCGTGCAATGTTGTTAAGATCAAGATCTTACATAAGATCGGGAGATGATAAAAAAATCGTAAATCGTAAGATCGACACGGATCGTAAGATCGTATTTGTACATATACAATATTAAAATAACATGAATACAAAATTATATTTTATACATATATATGATAATAATTAATCCAAATTATACATTAATAATTAAATCAAATATATACAATAACCATTAATCCAAATCAGCATTTAATTAAAAATTTCAAATTATAAAGAATAATTTAATTTATTATTATTATTAATTATAAAAAAAATACTCTGCCAATTCCAATAAAAGAAAGATAATAAGATTGAAAGTCAAAATTTGTATTGAAAAATGAAAAAATAATCAGCATTTTTGACGACACGTGAGTTAGTATGAAAAAACAAAAACTAATACGGTGAATCTAGACCACATAAACCAAGAGGTGGAAGAATAAAAGAATAAAAAAAATAAAAGTACATAACCTACTTTTGAAAAAGCACTTTACCAGTAGATGGCCAAACAAAAGATGAACTCAGTTGAAGGTTGCAGAACATGCATAACCAGTCGAAGAACTAGCGGTTACATAAAGTAAGAGAAGGTCATATTGCAGAGATCGGTCACACATTGGTGACGAAATGAAAATCTCAAACGAAAGGGAAATCGCAAAAATAGGGTTTCTACTTTTATTAAATTAGTTTTTTAAGAAATCTAGCTGGTTTGGTTGCTAGATTTTTTGGATTTGTTTTTTCTTTGAAATACTGGAACTGTGGGATCGCACGATCTCATCGATTTTACGATTTTCCACTTCGATCTCATAATTCCCACTTCATCTCGATCTTACATCCGATTTGGATCGTTTTTGGGTCAAAAATCGTAGGATCTTACAATCGTACGATATAAAACACGATTTTGATAACTATGATCTCGTGATATTCAAAAATTCGACGATTTTAATAGATTTTCTATTGTGTGGATTTCGTGAAACTTTTTAATGAAAAATATAAATAGGATGCCTCTCTCACAATCTCACCCTAACCCCTGAGATTTCTTGAGATTCGTCTATTGCAGTGTTTTCTTCTTCTTTTGGCAGGTTGACTGCTCGAGATTTTAATATAATCTATCTCAAAAGTAACATGTTTTTTAGCCATTTTTGAGAAATTTTGGAAGTTTAAAAATTGATTTTTCAAGTTATGGGTCGCGATTTTTCATTGCACAAAATGTGTGATTTTTGTATTAAAAACAACATAAAACAGTGAAAAAATAACAGGGGAACTAAAATCCTCAAACCAATTTTCGTTTTACATCAATGAAATAATATCAATTTAAAGAAAGATTGAAACTTTCATAATATGAACCCTATATTTCGTAACAATACATTCATGAACGAAATTCTTTCACTATAGGAAACAATTTCAAACAATTTTTGTGTCAATAGATAACTAAAAGCTTGTTTCTCAAAAGCCCAAAGCAATTTAAGGTTTCAATGTATCGATTGAAAAACATTTGAGAAATTTTCTAAACTTTCATGTAATTAAATCCAAAATTTCAGATTCGAAATTTTCTTAGAATATTCAATGAAAATATGCATATGATATATGGTTAGAAAACTCTCATCACGTAAAACAAAAATTTCAAGGTTTTCAAGATCAATTGCAAAAAATTCCAAACGAAATTTTATAATACACTTTAGGTTTTATATGCAAATTTAGAATTATTTTTATAATTAAAAAAAATTGGGTCTTATAATCATATATGCATAGCTTTGATACCAAATGAAGAAGATAATTTTCAACCAATTAGATATGTAAAAAGCTGTTGTCTAGTAATTTTGAATGTTTGTTAAAAATTATATTATGTTTTACTGATTGAGAAAATTATATTATGTTTTATTTTTTTTTATTAATTTCATTGCATTTCTTTGTTATTTTTTTATTGGAAAGATTATACTTACAACCTATTTTGTTTACAACCTTTTACAACCATATCTTAACCGTTGATTTCCGTCAATCAAAGGTTATTATTTTCGCAAATCAAACTCATTGATTAATATTTAATTTGCAATGAATAATAACCGTTGATTGACGAAAATCAACGGTTAAGATATGGTTGTAAAATATTGTAAACAAAAATATGTTGTAAGTATAACCTTTCCCTTTTATATTGACTCTTGTAATTTTGAATGTTTGTTAAAAATTCATATAGTTTTTTAAAATCTTGTAAATCCATATTGTCCTTTCAAATCTTATAAATTCTATTAAAATTCTTTAAAATTCAATCTTATGAAATCTTGATTGTAAAAAAAATCTTTTAAAAAAGTCTTTAAAGTCTCTTCAATTCTAAATAGTCTTTTAAAATCTATAAAAAAATTTAGCTAAAAATAAATCTTTTAAAATTCAAATCCAATACTATTATACCCATTTACCAAAAAAATAAAAGACTATCATACTGCATTCATGCAAATTCTCATCCTTTGATCTAACGTGGCAAAATCATAAGATTAATTATCTACATGACATTCATTTCATTTGATTGATGTATTAGTGCACAAACAAAGACCTCCAAATTTATTCCAATTTAACATACAATGCAAACATAAAACACAAGAAAAGGGAAACTTGGCACATGTTTTATCAATTATCAACCAAAATTGTCTAGAAGGACTATTCCTTGTTTTACACATATTTAAATTTGGAAATTCCTAAACCAAACCTTAGACAGCCCAAATTCACACATATCTAATTCAAGTTATTGGCATTAATTCATGACTGTAACTAATGGTGAAAAAAAAAAAAAAAAGGTTCATACTTATGGCAAATGTTTAGAAATTGGCAAGTTGGGTCATGCTGGGGCTTCCCAAGATCGAGGCAATGTCAAAAAGGGTAGGCCCGATTAAAGGACGTAGTTATATATAAAAAAAAAGTAATTGGGCCTATGGATAATTAAAGGGCCCAACGAGTACATTAAAATATTAAGTAGTTGCTTGAGGATGAGTTGTGTTCCTGTTAACTGTTAAGGGAAGATACTGAAAATAAATAAAAATGATGTCAGGACATTACACCTCCATTGATAACCAAAAGGTTTCAGGATCTGTGCGTGTGAGTGTCACCATTCAATTCAATTCAGTTTCCATTTCTATTGCTATTTCTATGATTATCATATAACATATCGTTCTCAATATCTTGCAGGCAGTTCCAGATCCCCCACCTTTCACCGTCAATTTCACAGGTCCAATTATTTAATCTCCTTCAATTTCATTCATTATTCTATCCCACGCTCATTTATATTTTCAATGAGTTGTAATGTTGCCTCCCCTATTCGATAAAACAAAATCATTAAGCCACGTTACTTGATTCTTAATTGTTGTTTGGGGAATGATATTGTAACAAATCAATTACTGACAATGTTATTACCAATCAATTTCAATGTTAGATCGATTATGTTGATTCAACGGTTATATTTATTTTAATCTTTGCATGGTTATGATTCCCCATATTTAATGTCCTCATACTTAATGTGAAAACATTAAATATGAGAAATTATAACCATACAAAGCTGAAAATAAATATAAAGTATTAAGAAATCATAACTATACAAAGATGAAAATAAATATAAAATATTAAATATGGAGAATCATAACTGTTCCGGATGCTACTTACTAAGGCCCACCAGATGGGCCCAATCGTTTAAAGTCCATATCTAGAATCTTCTAGAGGGCACCCATAGCAAGCCATAGAGGCTCACCACTGGGACATTTCTCATCCCTGCACTGATGCCCCTGTACACTGACAGTGGGCACCTTGATGAGACAGCTCAGGGGCTGACCAGCTCAAGCCCTCCTCTCTAAATACATGGAGAGGGGATCTTCTTCTTCTCCATGTTCTAGCTACGCTGTCACTCTGCCCATTGGTAGAGCACACCCCCCCTATGCACCATGGGAAGCTTCACTAGTGGCTTGGTCTCTACCAAGACCACTATGGACACCCTCTATATCAACATACTTTATCTTCCATGGGACACATCTTATGTACATTAAGAGTACAATAACCATACAAAGATGAAAATAAATATAACCGTTGGATCAATCTAACATTCAAATTGATTGGTATTAACATTGATTGATTTGTTACAATATCATATCGCTTCTTTTTAAAGAGTGACTATTTGATGTTCCCTTCGATTTCCAGTGTTAATCACTGATTTTATCATATTTGATTTGTCAAATCTCTTTTTTATTTTTATTTTAAAAATTTTGTAGGTTCAAATCTTCAGACATTTCCTCCATCTGGGGCACAGGGCAAGATTACTGGTGCATCCAGGCCTTCACACGATGCTGATGGTGTGTGATCATCTCATTTATTTCTTTTTGTGTCTAGTTATATGGTAATTACTTGCATTGCAACGGCATTTTTCCATGATAAAGAGTTGTCAAATTTTTTTTATTCGATTTGTGCAGACACATTTTCAAAACCGGTATCTGGTTCTGATGAACCCCAGCAGAGTGGTTGGTTTCGGACTTTCACCGTTGCTGCTTACAAGCCATACTTTGATGTTGACACTTCAGATGTAATAGAGAGGATTAAAGACTCTCTCTTTCCATTCAGAGGAACTTTCACTGAAAAAACTGCTACCAACCCTGATTTGTAAGTTCACTTCACTCTCTCTGATTGATCATCTAACTCACTGGTTAGTGGTTATTACATTACCAATGCTATAGTTCTGCACTCCGACATTTTTTGTTTTTAAAAGATGGCAAACATATTAAATATTGTCAGTTGCATCATTTTCATAGTTCTTATGTTGTGTATCTATTATCTAAGAGATGACTTTGTATAACCAAGAGGCTTTGTCTAGTTGATCTCTATAGTATTAACGGGAGGAGTAAACTTAATGGTTAGCATTAGCAATGGTCAGTTATATTTGTTTGTGATGCAGAGAAAGTTAGGCTCTGAAGGGGAGATAGCCTCTAATTTCACATAGGAGTTTCATGTTTTCACACCCAGCTGATATTGGATTCATGCTACTATTGACATATATTTAATATTTTGCTTTAGCTTTGTGGCAGCATGTAATTTGGATTTCACTATAAATGTACACAGGTATGGACCATTCTGGATTTGCACTACCTTAATATTTGTAGCAGCATCTATTAGCACATTTGTGACATATATAGCGCACAAGCTGAAGAATGAGGAATGGAACTATGACATAAATCTGGTGACTTGGTCTGCTGGTTTGTTTTACGGCTATGTCACCATTGTGCCTCTTTGTTTGTATGTAATCCTCAAATACTTCTCTGCACCATCGGGCCTTGTCCAACTACTCTGTCTCTATGGATATTCCCTGTTTGTCTTTATTCCAGCTCTGGTGAGTTACTACTATTCAAATTTTCTCTTTTTTGAAAGTATGAAATTTGACATTTTCTTCTTCCTTTGTATCCTCAAACCCTTGTTTGGTGCAGTGTATGTCCGTTGTGCCATGGGAGATATTCAGATGGGTGATTGCAGGTGTGGCTGGGTTCATGTCAGCAACATTTGTGGCACTTAACCTCCGGGCACATATCTTGTCAGCAGGTGAAAGGTGGTTCCTGATTGTTGCTGGCATTTTTCTATTGCAGCTGGCTCTAGCCTTTGCACTAAAGATCTACCTCTTCACAATAACAGTTTGAGAGGAAATTGAATTATCTTCAATCAGCATTAATAAAATATAGATAACGAAGATAGAGCTTTTTGTCTTTTTAGGTTTTCATTAAAACAATTTGTAGCTGAAATGTGATTATCAGATTAAACCATCATTCATTCATTCATTTGTGGCAACATCGAGTTGAATAAAAATAGCTTGTTCGTTTGATGACTACAGTCATTTGTCTTGGCATTTGCACACTGTCATATCGGTCCAAGAGATCTCATTTGAAGGAAAAGAGAGAAAAGTAAATAAAAAAGTAAATAAAGTTTAAATATAAACAATACAACACATTAGATGATGTAACTCTAATAAAATTTTAAGGGCATCGATTGTACTAAATATCAACATAATTACAACAGTGTAAAAATAACAAGTTTTACATAAAATTTTAGTAATTAATTTTCGTACATCTAATGGTTAAAATTTATTGGGTCATATTATTTAATTAATTAATATAATTTAATAAATTTTAATCATTAAATATACATAAATTAACAGTTAAGATTTGATATAAGATTTGTTATTATTATACCCGTATAAGTTGATCTTATTCCATTTATCTGTATTATAAATGAAATTTAAATACATATAACGTTACAGATTTTTATAATGTAAAAAACAGTAAAAAAGCTAATTGTAATATTTAAAACTTGAAGATTCATGCCATTTAACTTTACCTAAAAAGATATTAATATAATGCCCCTGTTCCACCCATTTTTGTTTTGGCACAATGCCAACTATAATTACAGACCGTAGGCGTAGACAATCATTTGCCCCAGAGAACTTTGGTAATAAGATACATTCCAACCCTGTAAGGAAAATATTTTCAGATCTACCAATCAATCGGTATATCTTTTACTAAATATGAAAAAAAATAATACATTTACATTATTTTTATTTTTATGATTATTTTCTTTCATATCCCCATTTTTTCCATTTTTGATAAAAATATACCTATATCCATTGCAGCAAAGATTTACTCCCTCAAAACGCAGTAATACATTATTTGGAAAGGAGACTCATTGTCACATCACAAGATCAACTTATTAGAGTAAAAACAAAGATCTTATACAACTGCTCGAGCAAAGAAAGAAGCAAGACGAATACCAACTCAAGGAGGATTAAAGGAGGATATGGAATGCAAAGATGCCACAGGCTAGTCCAAAGGAAGAAACAAACCCTATTAAAATACATTGCTCGAAACCTTAAACCTAACAATACATAAGCTAAAGGATGCCTCTTATTGAATCTCTTGCTTCTTCAAGACTTCAACAGCCAAATAGGTTAGTTTTGTGAGGCACTAACACTTCACACTTTTTTGGTGCGCAAAAAGAGCAAACTAAAGGAATCCTGAAATTGGGGATTCTATACATGGACAGGGTTAGGTTAACTTTGGACTTATTTTAAGAGTTGTTAAATTGACTAATAGAATTGTCATTAAAATAAAGGATTGGTTAGTTGGTATCCAATAATGTACACATTTCACAATCAAGGCCAGAATCGTCCTTATATGTCTGGTTTAGTTACATTAAAATTAGCGGTGAGGCATCGAAAGATTGTAAACATGAACTGCGATTCAAAGTGATTATTACATGTGTCAGAGATATTATTTAAAAAATAAGTACTTTTTTAACATGACCTACACTAAGAAGCACCGATATTCCTTAAATTTTTTTTCCAACGCGTATCGAAAACGTATTGTTTGGTAATCTACATCCTGTATCATCGAATAACGTATCGAAAACGCGTATCGGTGCTTCATAGGACCTACATGATCTGACAACTGCCAATCGTTGATTTGAATACCTATTTTATACTGTATGAAATTACTAATTGACTGGGACATGAGCTTGACCATTTGTTGGCTAAACTTCCTGGGTCCTTCTTCATGATGAATAAGCCTATGTTTTTACACATGGAAGCATGAGAATCTACTATCCCTGTTTTAAACTTGCCATATTAAATGAGCCATAATCTTCCTAAGTCTACAACAAGGAAATTCCACCTTCAATCCTTTCCCTTCTCAGTTTAATTTAGAAGACCTCCTCGGATCTCCCCTTTACCTTTTCTGGGGTGTGCTACAGACTAATTATAGACGCAGACATCAAGAGGTGTCTTGAATTTTGATCTTTATTCTCCATCTTTGGCTCAGAGAAGCTAAAAGAGGAATAGTAATGGTCGTTGAAGATTGTGGAAAAAGTCATGTCAGTTTCAAGTTCAAGGACTCAAGTTGGGTGTCTCTTAGTACTCATACTTGCACTATTTAGCACTTCTTGTTTAAACAAAGGAGTATTTGGTGCTCGATATGGAAAACAAGAAGAATATGTACATAAGTTTCCATTATGGAGGAAAAACTTCAGCCATGAAACAGATGGGGGCTCTTATGCTACAATTAATAGACAAGTACCTTCCTCTCCTGACCCCTTACATAACAGGTAGGTAGTTACTTCAAGCGACTGAATCCACTGTCCTTACAAGTTACAACAGCTATTCTGCCATATAAAATTGCTTTGCATGATTGGAAGCACTATTAGTTCTTTTATATATATATATATATATATATATATATATATATATATATATATATATATATATATATATATATATATTTCTCCTAAAGCACGGTATGTGCAGCAGTTATCAGATCTTTTGGCTAGTGAAGTTAAAAGTAAGGTTGCTCAACTTACCTGGTCTGGTGGGTTGTGTACTGCAAGTGTTCAAATTTTGTGTGTTGGTGATGGAAATTAACCATGATGGCTTGCGTTTTTTATTGTTGACACAACTACATGGATTTAGGCTAATTAGGCCTTGTCATTCGCAGAAACATAACTTGCTTGCAAATCGCAACCCATCTCTCGTGATTCTCCATAAAAGAATTAAAATATTTCGTCATAGTACCAAATTTGACAAGAACAACTGAAAGAAATGAACCATACAAGATTCTGACCAAAAATACTATTTTTAAAATATCCGCTTTGATCGTATTACAATTATTCAGAAACATGCAGGGCGACCCACAGGGTAAAACCTATCATCGCAATTCGTTAGTGACCCTGTAAAGAACCAGCAAAAAGGTCGGCTACCAAGTAACCCCACAGTCCCTCCCTACAACAATAGTTGGTTGAATATTCTAGTTCCAATTTTCCAGACCGCATTCCTCTTTCCAATGAAATTCGTAATTGAAGTTAGTAAATGAGCAGCTTGATTAAATTGAACATGTTTCAATGCCCTGCAAGACAGAAACCAATAATACACTTCAGAATTTTAAACCCATGACCCAGAATTCCCATGCACTTGAATTACACTCAACTTGAACTTTGGCAATATATTTCATGGGCTCAATACGGCGAACAATTTATACCCGTAATACAGTACAGATACGAGTTCACAACTAAACCTGCTACAAGGGAGGGAGGGGAGCAGACGTATATCGAACCAAACAATAACCTCTATTCAATGTTAACCTAACTTCAGTAAGAAAGCAACAAAAATTAACGCGTTTTGACATTTCTATTCCTTTCAAGCAAAACTAGGACATCAGATCCAGGGTGTTAACCTTTCGCAATGAATAAAATCACACAACACAAAGAAGAAAGCACAAATTTTTTAGTTTACTGAGTTACAGAATATGCCGTGTATCCTTTCCCCACAAAATCGGGCATGTTTTTAAAGATCATTTACTATTTAAGCATATAAAAAAGAGAGAAAGGGGTTGGGTTGGGAGTGGTGGTAGTTTGGAAACAGATTAAGGTGGAGAACACAAGTCATAACCTACAATTCTGAACTAGCTCTTCAAAAATATCACTCAGACTATAAATAATGCAATTAGGCCTTCGATTTCTTCCCTTTGGCTTCATTAACCGGTTGGTTCTTGAAAGGCAGGAATGTCTTCCCACCCATGAATGGCCTGAGGACTTCTGGTATCTCGACTCCATCATCCTTCTGATAATTCTCTAGAATGCAGCACATGGTCCTCTCAGTAGCCGTGAGAGTAGAGTTCAGCAAGTGAACATATTGCTTCATCTGCTCATTGCTCTGCAACAGTAAAATAGATGCAAAGGTCAACAGTTAAAATTATGAAAGTACATTCATGAATTGGGTTGAAACAGTTAAGGCTAAAAGAAAAATATTGCTCATGGCAAAATCCCAACAACAAACTCTGAACTATCTAAGTTTAACCATGGAATATCTTGGGCCCTTTAACACAAGTAAGCACCAGAATCACTTATGATTATTCTCCAAATGTTTAACAAAGATAAAAATTACTTGCCTGCTAAATAGAAATGCTACGAATAATTTCAATGTAGAGTCGATTTCATAAATCCAGATTGTGAGATTTTGGATATACAGGGGGAGGTCTCATTTTTTTTAATGGAATGAAAACTTTCAATCATAAGTTATTGAATAATGTTAATAAAGCCATCAAAATGATGAAATTAGGCAGCACTGACCTTCTTCTGTCCATATCGAATTTCTAATCTTCTGGCCTGATAGTCTGTACAGTTAGAACAGGAAACAAGCTCTCTGTAAGCTTGAGATGATGGAAACCATGCTTCTAGATCACACTTCTTTGCTGCAGCATCATTCAAAGCACCAGATACAATTGAAACAACTTGATATGGAATGTTTAACTGCATTAAACAAAATTTAATTATATAAGGAAGGAAAATATAAAGAGGGCAAAGAAAGCAGACAATTTAGGTTGGAAAACAACCAATACATACAATCTATAAGCAATGATAACCACCACAAAAAATATAATGAGATAAAACCAACCTATGGGTACTTGGCCAATACAGAGCACAGACAATCATCAAAAAGCATAAAATGAAGTCTTAGTCCTAGATAAAAAAAATAAAAATAAAAAATACAAACAAATATAGGGATGTGCTAAACATTCCCCTGGTTAGACATGTTTGGCATGTCAAAGAAAAAGCATGCATATCCCCATAGTTTAATGATACCCTGGGATTCAGTAACCATTTTAAAATTATATACTACATATTGATTGGAAATATGAACTCATATAGAATGGCTTTAAACATATTCTAGGTTGTTCAATGAGAGACTATATCACACCGCTTTGTAAAACTCCTCAGAGTTCTTTAGCATTTCCTCATGCATGTCCCAAGAATCATTGCCATTTGGGCTAGTAAGGCAAAACTGCTCCACTTTCTCAAATTGGTGAACTCGGAATATTCCTAGAGTATCTCGACCATGTGATCCAGCTTCTTTACGAAAACATGATGAATATCCAGCATATCTGCAGAAAGCTTATTTCCAGAGTTAAAGCCAACATAGTCTTCGAAGTTCCAAAGTTAACAAGTGACACCAAATTCATATTACCTTATGGGCAGCTGTGAAGGGTGGATCCAATCATCTAAATGATATGCACAAAGCGGCTGCTCTGCTGTTGCAATCAGATATTTGTCATCTCCTTCACCAGTTACCTAGTATAATAACTCCTTAGATATGCTCAGAGGAAAAGATTAAGGTGATCTTTTGTTTGTTTTCTAATTTAATTTTCAGCTAGTATGATCATTAATAATAACAAAAATTTCACTTTTTCATTGTGCTTCCAGTTTTTAAAGTTTTGTGAAGAAAATGGTGATAACACCGTTTGCAAACTTTGAAAATGGAAAACAAAATGAAAACAAGTTGGCAATATTTTCATTATTAATGAAGACATACCAACTAAAAATGAAAAAAGAGAACAAATCAAACACCCCCTAAGCATTAACAATTTTGAATGACACACTACAATAAAGCTATTGGCAGTTTGGCACTAAAAGGTTAACCATATTAATCAGCAAAACACCTACGCACATATTTACCTGTAAAAGAATATAAACTATATATAGAGGAATAATTAATATGTCCAAACATCACAAATTATATATGGACACCCAGACAAATCATGGAATCAATTGAAGAATTTTACCTTATAAAGTTCTTCATCAAACTGGGCTAACTGAGCACACTTTGACATTATATCTTTTCTCATGAAGAAAGGAGTATGCAATAAAGTATATCCCCTTTTGTCCAAAAAATCAAGCCCAAAGTTGATTAGAGCTTGATTCAGAAGAACACCATCTCCTTTGAGATAGAAACCTCTACCTCCAGCTACATCAGCTCCTATTATGTATCAAGCAACTTGACATAAATGATTAGGATACATTCAGAGAAGATAGCATCAGAAATGCAATAATGTTCCCTGTACTTGACTGGTGATTAACATAAAAAGCTTCAGGCAGTGATAGATGAAAATACAGTGAAAATCAGCATGCACAACGAACTTTAAAGAAACTTGTATTGTGTGATGTTAGATTATTGTGCCACAAGCAAAATGAGATTACAAATCAAAATACTGAATACTATCTAGAATGAGAGAGCGGCAGAAGGACATTATGCAAAACATGTACTAGTGCAATAGCTAATCCAATCATACAAATGAAATGGTTCAGGCAGTAGATAAAGAAGAGAAAGAGTGTGCAGTGAAGGAAAAAAAAAAAAAAAAAACAGAAGCATTATTATAATTACAAGAACAAGACGATCGCCATGATAAACAAATCACAACACCAAATTTCAATTCCAATAAAAATAAAAATCATCACTTGAACACCAGATGAATAAACTCAAACCTTTCTTTGTATCTGCTATCCCGAGAAGCTCAACTAGATCCACATGATTCTTTAGTTTAGGCTCCACTCTTTTCTCCCCCCACGACCTAACAACAGCATTGTTGGCCTAAAGCATACAATACCCCATGATTTTAAGACTTGCATTAGCATAAACAAAAAAAAAATAGAAAAAAAAAAAAAAAGACCTCATCTTTACTGATTGGAACGGTATCGTGCACGAGGTTTCCAATTGTTTCCAATTTGGAATTCAAGAGTTTTAGAGTTTCCCCAACTTCAACCTCTTTCTCTGCTATCAATTTCTTGGTCTCCTCTGATTCACTAATAAACTTGGTTGCATCTTCACCAGCCTAACACACACAACAACAACTTTTAGCAAATGAATGGATTCAGTATACGAGAAATGGATCAGAAATGAAGATACTGACACGCTTGAGTTTGGAGACTTCCTTATTGATCTTGTTGAAGTCTTTGCGGAGATTCTCCAGCTCAAATTGACCTGAAAAGAAGTAAAAAAAAAAAAATAGCGTTAATGTGAGATTAGATTCATGACATTGTTGTAGCTGCGTGGAGAGAGAGAGAGAGAGAGAGAGTACGCTTTCGCCATTCTTTGTCGAGATTGATGACGTCGTCGACTAGGTCGACGCTGGCAAAACGACGGCGTTGGGATTCGCGGATGAGCTCAGGGTTGTGGCCCTTTTCCTCCCTGAATAGGTTGATGTCCAACATCCCTAACGCCGCCAACAAACCTCTGAATGAATGGATCAAAGAATGAGAGACAGTGAGAAGAGGGTTTTGCGATTTAAAAGGAGGGTTTCTTTTATTTATTGCAATACACCTAAACTATTTTTGTTTTGTAATATTTGCCAATTTGACCTCACTTTTCTAAAGTCTAAACAATTTGGAAAAATGTACTACTACTACTGAAAAACAATGAATTAAAAATCTCAATTATTATTTGACAAAACGTATCTGTTCACTCGTTAATAGTAGGATTATGGTTTTCTACTTTTCTTAATGGCTTTTGCTAAATATTAATGCCTACATCGTATGCTGAGATTTATTTTTCGGTTACAAAACTAAGACAAAACATTTACGATCCCAACTGTCACCACAAGATGATATGCAATGCTAAATCTGTCTTCAAATAAAAAATCGTCGTCGTCGTCAGCAAGGGGATGGAATGTCCACAATTTTTCAATTTCACACAAAAAAGGGGCATGTGCATGCACACTTTGGATTTGGCAAAATCTCCAAAAAAAACACCTGATAAGTTCCAAAAAAAGAAGCTACACAAGCGATTAACGGGGAATTTTATCACCAGTAATAAAAAAAATAAGCTACACAAGCAATAAAAAAAATTGTCCACAGCGGCAGACACCAGCGATGAAGGAAAAAAAAAATATATGTATGGCGTAGAGGAAGAGAGAAAGGGTGTGGGAGGAAGTGAGGAGAAAGAAAGGGAAAAAAAAGGATTTATTTTATTTCGCAAATATTGACCGTTGGATCAGATTGTAATCGAACAATAATGAAAGGAGTAGACAAAGATAGGCAAAATAAGGGTAGGTAGAATAACCTATTCGTATAAGTAGGGTTGACAAAACGGGCCAACCCGGCTCGACCTGGCCCAACCCGTATTCAATCCGAAAAAAACGAACTAGTTTAGGGTTGGCCCGAAAAAAAAAAACGAGGCAGAAAACCCAACCCAACTCGACCCGGGTTAGGGTTGGCTCGCAGGTTGGCTCGAAAAACAGCTCGCGGGTTGGCTCAAAAAAAACAGCTCGCGGGTTGGCTCGAAAAACAGCTCGCGGGTTGGCTCAAAAAACAGCTCGCAGGTTGGCTCGAAAAAATGGGTTGCTGTGGAGCTAGTCTTATCTGTTCTTCAACAAAACTCTGTGTAAGAATCACAAATGATAATGGTAAAGAGAGTAGCTAATGAAAAATGAAAAATATTGTCATTGAAACACTCATGGTAAAGATTTTAACAAATATTAACTAATAAAACACAGCCAATAAATTAAGAGATCCTAACATATTGTTCATAGGATAAATGAGTAGACACACACATTACAAACTGTCCTATGAGAGTCTCTCGTAGCCAAACCAGCTAAATGAGTCACTTCATACTCATCATCATAACTTTAAACAACAAACAGTACAATATCAAAAACTAAACATCAAAAGTTCAAATGAAGTGTTGCTAAGCCCTGCAGTAACACAAACAAGAAACTGAAATAAGTACATGCTCGATTTGCAAATGATAATTGGCCTAAATAAAAGGGAAAGGGAAATTTACGAGTTATCAACTGTTCTGACTTTTTTAGTCTTTATTTATTAGTCTTTTTTTATTCATCGAAATGCTTCACACCTGACTTTTTTAAATAGTAATCTTTATTAATGACAGTCCGTTACGATTTTAGTCCTTCAATCATATTTAAAAAATTTAGAAGATAATTTTGATACAAAGATAATACAAACACAAGCCTTTCAAATAAGTCCAAGTCATGCAAAGTATATTTTTCCAAATATGTTAAACCAAGGAAACAAATTAACTCCTTATCATTTGAACCAAAGATAGTTGGTGTTACTTTTTCTTTTTATTGTTTCTATTATTGATATCACAAAAACTAACTGGTAGTGTTAATATCACATAGTAGTGAAAAAATTTGGGCAAATTATAAACTACCCTGTATTTAGATACCCTTTTAAAAAATCATCATGCACTTTTAACTAAAACAATTAACCATTACATTGTAGTATTATAACAATTAAATACATTTGAAAATTATAAAACAAAAATATTCACATACTCAAAATAACTATTGTCCCGGGCCACGGCAATCCTGCCGACAAAGGATTTGAAAGCTGCCAAAATAACTATTAGTCTTATATCATCAATTATCATTCCCTCGATTTTTAAAGGTAGGACCATAGTAGAGCATGAAACACTAACGGGTGGTAATATTATCTATCACCTAGAAAAAAATTTGTTTAGAACTCAACAACAAAAGGGGATGTATCACCAAGTTATCAACTGTTCTGCAAATGAAAGGGAAAAGGAAATAGATATTGGCCTAAAGGGGAAACCCCTTTAATTTGTTTACTAATCAGTGAATCAAAAGGGTATCAATTGATATATATATATATCTAAGAATCATGTCCTATATATCCGCCAAAATAGCTAAAGAGAGCAGAAACGTTGATGGGTAAGATCCAGGCATGTTATATAAACAAAAAAAGGATGTTCATGGCATCGTTCAAGAGATTAAGAAAGCATGTGTAACATGATTATGTTGAAATTATCTAATACAAAGATGCTCGTAAATGCCATTCAAGTACTTTCTACATTAGACTCTGTTTCTTATGTGGTTACTTACTTTTTACTCCATTCCTTGACATCTAAAAGATACTGAGATGAAGTAGCAAGTCAGATTGATTAAAATGAGAAGCACAAATCACAAATTGGACAGAAGCACTAATCACAGAGTACTACTGTAAAAATGAGAAATATAAATCAACACATAATAATCATCTTATTTTGTCAGCACTTAGCAACAACAGATTCCTACAGTTGGAAAAGTATCCCCTTTACGAATAGAAATAAATTATTTATATTCATCAAACTCAACCCACTAAGCGACTAAGTCAAAATGAATAACATTTACCATTGTAAGAACAGGAACCAATTAAATTATATCAATTAGCTCCCCTTGTTCACAGCGCCTAAAAGGCATTCAGGTCCTTATATCTTCTCAACAATATAGTGAAGGATAGAGTTCACGTATGATATAAATTACAATTCAACTATATCAAGCATCAGCATCTGTTACTGCTAACTAGCTAACTTTCCTTCTTTCCTCTTAATAGAGATTTCATACTGTTTTATTAGCTAAAATTATCATCAAGAGGAAACACACTACACACATCAGTTCTCTCTGCTGTTGGGAGATTGAAGCAAAACGATTGGGAGAGGAAACGACGAGAGGTACCTTGTGCTCCTTGCTAGATTCAGAATCAGATGAAAATGAGAGGAAGAGAAGAGATCAAGCCTTGATTCAAAACCTAGAAAATCAAGCTCAACGATTCAGTAAAAGAAATGATAATGGAGAAAGAGAAAGAGAAAGAGAAAGAAGAAGAATAGTTTCACTTTACCTTTGAGTTGATCCAATTTGATTCAGTAAAAGACTTGATAATGGAGAAATGATAATGGTGTGTGTGCTGATGTGAGAAGATTAGGGTTACAAAAAAAGTGAGAAGCAAGAATGAAAGTGACGGAGCTGGGTTGGGTTGGGTGTGGCCCGTGTGTCTGTCTCTTTTATTTTTATTTTTTTTAATTAAAAAAAAAACTGAACCCGCTCGCTAGTTTAACCCGCGGGTTGGCTCGTTTTTTCACGAATTGGCTCAGGTCGGATTAACTCGGGTTCGCAGCTCATTTTTATCAATTCAACCTGACTCATTTTTTGACGAATTGCGAGTTAATCTGATGAGTTAGCTCGTTTTTGCCAACCCTACACATAAGTATAATTTCCTCTTAAACTAGTATTAAACAATAATAGACGAGAGAATAAATGCCAACGATTACCGTTTTAAAATACAAATTAAAGTTATCCAACAATATTTTGTAACAACTTTTTTTTTTTTTTTTTAACTTTTTAACGACCACATTTTAATCTTTTTGTCAGAGGCGTAGAGCAATTATCATTATAAATCAAACAAAAACCGAAATGTATAAAATTAATATTACGAGAAAATAAGTATCCTATTCTGGTATATATGGCTATGTTAGAGTACTTTTTATGATCATATCATAATTGTTAATTTCTGTCAGTCAACGATTATTATCTTCGCAAATTAAATTTATTAATTAATTATTAATTGATAATAAATGATAATCATTGATTGACGAAAATCAAAGGTTAAGATATGGTTATAAAATGTTGTAAATAAAAATAAATTGTAAGCATAACCTTTCTCCTAGTATAATTATCATTTAAATTTGTAATCTTATATATAAGTACCATGTTAATGAAATTGGATTTTGTTCTGAACACATTTTTCCATTTTCTTCTTGACTTGAGTTTCTCTCTAATTTGCTCTCTAATTTTTATTTGATTTCTCTCATATGAATTTCTCTCACCTAATACTTTACTTGTTTTTCTCTCGTATGTTATAATTTTTAACTTTTAAGATTAAAGTATCCATAATCTTAACTTAGAGGAGGTAATTTGGACTTTTCTTATATATTAATATGGGATAAGATATTGTGACACCCAAGTTATGTTATATCCATGTGACACCTAGTCAATCTCACTGTTAGATCGCTTATGTTGATTCAACGATTATATTTATTTTTATCTTTGTATGGTCATAATTTCCCAAATTTAATATTTTATATTTATTTCTACCTTTGTATGGTTATGATTTCCCGTATTTAATGCTTTCACTTTAAATTTGGGAAATCATGACCATACAAAGATGGAAATAAATATAACCGTTGGATCAACATAAACAATCTAACAGTGAGATTGACTGGGTGTTTGAGTGTCACAATATCCTATTCCTATTAATATTGCTTAAACGAAAGTTTTATCAAATTTTGTACATTGCATTTGTTTAAGCCAAAAAAAAAAATTGTTGGATATGATATCTATATAAATACAAGGGAAATCATTTTCTCATATAATAGAAGATAGTTTTCTCATGTTACGAGACATCGAAAATCGTGCTGTCCTTTTTTGTTTTTTTTTCTTTTTTAACAAGTGGTGAGCCCCACCACTTATTGTATCTATGACATGAGAGATGATATCTCATGTGACATGAGAAAAGAGAAACCCTAAATACAACTGGGGCATACCTGAGCTCTTGTTTGATATGTTAATATTATGCGTCGAATGCAACGTGAAATTTTATTAATCCCTTCTTTTTGGGTAACATTCTATACTTGTCTCTTTCTTCCCGGAGATCCACCATTGTTAATGTGGTTGTTCTTGACTAGTTCTAAGGTATAATGGTTGCACCGGAAGCTGCATCTTGACAAATGTTGAAACGTTGAAGACTCGTAAATTAATTGAAGTCCCTTGTGCTTCGTAAAAACCTTGTATAAACCAAATTATTTTGAGATATACATCTATCTATAAGATAATAAGAGGCTGTTTAACAATCCCCAAATGCAGCATAGCATAGCTTCTTGCATTTTCTTTGTCATGGGCAAGTAGTGGGGTGGTTCCTGCTGAGGAGCAGTAACATACTGGACACGAATATTGCTACAACATTTTCAAATTCAAATCAAATTACTTATAAATTTAAATCATGCCAAAAAAACTTTTGTGTAATATTGTCAAGGGAAGAATCCCAGTTACTTTACAACAACATTTGATAACTCCGCAATATCATTCCCTCTGCAAAACTGGATCTTGTCCAGAATTCCACTCTGTAGTATAATTCTTCGTTATCACTAGTAATACATCTTACACCTGTCACATCGGGTTATCGTTCTAAAGCTTCCCCCGAAAGAATGGTAACCTATTGAAGAAAGAATTTACTTAATTAGTGACTTCGCCTGATCAGACCCAACAGCCGTGCAACCATATGATTTTCAACCCATGCACAATCTCCTTTAACTTGAACAGCTGCTGCAAGTGAGCCAGAGGCCTCACCCCACTAACAAAAAAATGGATCCTACCACAATCTCATACTGATTTGATTTTTCTTGAAGAGAAAAAAAAAAATCGATACATTGAAAAATATAATGTAAGAGTCTCCTTGTTAAGAGAGACAATTGAATTTGGCAGGTGTCACTTATTGGGAGGATCTGTACTTATTAGATTGACCCACAAGTTTGCAAGCTTGACGAAGTAGTGCTTCCCATTCCATGTCACCAAATTTAATCCTGATTCATAAAAATCACACGGAAAAAAGGTTAAAAGGCTGGACTGGATGATGGGTAGTTGAGATTTCCACTTTCTGCTTTTAAATGAAAAACATCACATCTTTTCCCACTTCATTTAATGAAAGCATAGCCTTGAAGCTATCGATCCAACAGATACTAAAGAGAATAAAAATTGGTGTTAAAAAGATATCAACTACTTGTACATGATGAAGAAAGACAATTTCCAACATTGATCCTGAGGCACGTGCACCTTATTTTGTTTCACTTCTTTTTGGTTAGATTAGGTGTGTTTCAGTAGTTTACTCCCACAGGTCCACTCTCCATTATAGTATTCACCTGAGAATATGTGAGAGCGTTCAACTGCTCAACTGCTATCATATCTGCTTAGCTAACATGGAAAAGATTTCACTGAAGGGTGGTAAATAGCCAAAGGAGCAAAGTTGTAGAGATATCCCAATTCCTAAACATCAATAATTGACAAATGGAAATTTTCACGCTTAAAGGATTTTTTTTTCCTAATCCCTAATGATGAGCATTTGGACACCTTAATACTTTGTCAGAAATTATAGGCCAAGTTTCTATGAAAAAACAAAATTCAATTCAAATTTTTTCATTTGCATTTCAAAGACAGCCAATATTATTGTGGACATACCCGGTACGAAACCAGCAGGCAAGGCTGACAACTGGCAAGTAGATTCTTCTCCAGAGATTACATGGCTCTGAAGTGCATGCTCATCAAGCTCATGAATGTACTTAATGGATTTAATTAATTCCCTTGAAATGTCATCTAGCTCAAAATTATTTGATATACTGAAAAGAGCTTCTTCAAGTCCCGAACCCAACCATGTGCTGTAACAGTCCTTCAAAAGGGCAAATAAACTCGTGGGATCTAGGGAACCTGATAACATCCATGGTTTGTAAAACTTGGCCGAAGTTTCAATAATTTTTGCCACTCTATAAATTTCTCCGAGTGCGTGGATATACTGAACACCTATGTCAACCCACAACCCAGAAAAAGAAAAGGTTATCTCAGACTCTTAAGTTCATCTGCATCAGCAGCACATTGATTAGGCATGATATAATCACGTGGCTTACCTTTCGGGTTAGATAATATCTGGTCATGGACATTCTTTTGTACTGCTTGCTTCCAAATATAAGCACCATGTTTCAGCTCTTGAGAACAAACAAAGGCTATTTTGGACCATATGGTATGATAATAAGGTTGTTCTTCTCTTGATCTCAACTTGAGAATTCTTAATGTCAATCCTGCATCTTTCAAAAGTTCCATAGCAGATTTCACATCCTTCTCGGCCTATTCAAATACAAAAATATTATTATGCAATAACAAGTGCTGTCAAGCTAAATGGCGTACTAAGAAACTCCATCAAATTAATCTCGAGGAAAACTATCACAAATAACACTACTGATAAAAGCACCTAAATCAGTTATATGATCATATACTTTGTTTAAAACTATCAAAATCCTTCAGTAGTTCACAGTACTATTTGCGCATGCAAGAAAATAAAACTTGAAAAATACAACATTCAACATTTTCAAGAAATAGACATACCATTGACAACCTTGATGCTAGCTTGTACTCTGACTCAAGAGGTTGGAACTTAGGTTCCTTCAGAACTTCACGAAGCTCATCGAAGTGCACATTTCTTGGTGAATAATTTTCCGAGAGATATTCATGGGGGATGCTCATTTTATCCTGATTCAGTATCTTAGAGAATTCCTGTAAAAGAAAAGAGAACACGGTTGAAACTATTATTTACTAATGCATTTAATAAAAAGGAGATAAACGCCATACACAAATACACAACCAGAAGAAAACCATTTTCACAATAACATATTACTAATGGCTCAATCATGTTTGATAGGGGCCTTTGATTCAATGAACATTAGTCAAAACCATTTCATCAGGGCAGGGGTTCTGCTAACTTTTGTGCTCAAATACATCCAGACCTACCTTGAGATTTACCATTTCTCTTGTGGTAGATAGAATCCCATTCCCCTATCCCCTTCCCCACGTTGTACACTTACAATTGTAAGGGAAAAATAAATAGCCAAAACAACAATATTAGATAGGAAAAATAGATAACACTAAGCAACTTCGTATACTGACCTGAATTTCCTCCTGAAGAGCTTTTGCTGTTGCATCTTCAACCGAAAGAGCAGCAACACATTGAGCTTTCTAAGAATAGTTCATGAATAATTTCAATGCCAGTAAGTATTAGCATTTTCTACCAAAGAAAGATCACAAAAGGTTACCTACCTTGAGATTCTGAAGATGGAACAGGACAGCATTGCACAATTCATCCTTTAATTTGCTATAAAACTCTCTATAATCAATTGGCTCTAATTCTGTTGATAACTGCATTGGTAAATCTCTGTTTTCAATAGCAGATGACTGATCTTGACTTCTTGTTCCAGAGATGCCATCTTTAAATTCCCATGAATCATCCTCAAAACCATCATCACCATCGATCAAATCAGAATTTAAAACAGTTTGGGAAGACTGCAACCCATTTTCATTAACTTGTGGTGCATGATCAATAGCAGATGCCTGATTTTGACTTCTTGTTCCAGGGTTGGCATCCTTAAATTCCCATGAATCATCCTCAAAACCATCATCATCATTTATGAAATCAGAATTTAAAACTGTTGGAGAAGACTGCCCATTTTCGTTGACTCGTGGTGTATGATTAAAAGAAGTGTTTTGTGCAGATTCATGGGCAAATCTGGTTCCAGGTGAAGCATCCTTAAAGTCCCAAAAGTCATCATCACCGGAAACCAAATTGGAGCCCGATACTTCAGGGGAGGCATGAATGTGATTTTCACTTGCTTTTGGCGTCACATTAGGAGAAGTTTTGTCTTCAGCTTGACTATATAAATTCCATATCAAGTCATTGATAGATATGTTGGAAACAGGGCTATTAAAGCTGTTCCTTATTGGGGATGTTGGTGTGTAGGGAGACAAATCTTTAGACACAGAATATTCATCAGTATCTGGCGTCTCATCACCAAAAATTGACAAAGGCAAGGCTTCCCTTCGATTCTCTGAGCTTATTTGGGGCTTCTGGAAATAGAAAGAATAGTAACAAGGACAATATGTTTAAAAAGAATGAAGACTAAGTTGACTTTTAAACAAAACAATGTGCCATATGACAAACTCATGAAACTGATTCATGAGTCTTGAATACCTTTTATAAATAATTAAACCGAGACAATACCACATGATATATAAAATATCATCAAACTGATTTAGTACCTCATGTTTTGTTCCAATTTCTGTAACGGCACCCTTCGATTCAAACAAATTGACATCCAAATCAACATTTGTATTGGTAGGGGAAGCATTGTTTTTGTTGTTATCATCCTGTTTGCTTTTGGTTTTGAAGTATGACTCTGAAATATGACTGTCTTTACCCAGAGAACTAGAACTGGGATTAAAGCTAAAGTCCCATTCATCAGATTGATGAGATTCTGACGCAAGAGATGGTTCAACAGTGCCATGGGGAGCTCCACCATCAAATTTGAGTACTTCTATATTAGTAGGATATATGCCAGCCATCTTTGGTGCTTCCTGATACCACAAATCCACAATCAGATTGTGTTAATGCATACACCTCAATAATCTGAACAATGTCATACAAAATGAGGAAATAATGTTAAAACAACTCACCAAATTTTGATTTGATCCTGACCCTGAATTTACATTCTTCAACTCTCCAAAATTTTGATTGAACAAAGTAAACCCAGTTCCGTTTTCACTAGACTCACTTTTCGGACCTAGTTGTGGGCCGATATGATCTTGTGATGAAGAACTTGGACTGAACTCAAACCCCAAGTGCCATTTGCCAGCTTTATCAGAAATCCCAGGAGATGAATCCAACGTAGCACCAACATCAAGTGCACCATTATCATGATTTAGCGCTTCAGCCTTCAAATAGAAGATAGATTATCAGGCAAATGAAATTCGTTCATGAAAAATAAGTCTGTATAATTTTAATGACATATTAAGCAAGCACGTGTTTACGTGATGAAATCAATCTCCGCCCAAGAGAAAAGCCTCTTAATGTAGATGGACAATGCCAAAAAATGACTTAAAGTCACAAATGCTACTATAGCAGCACAAAAGTTAAGCATGTGTAACAATTGATCCATACCCACTTGCATTTCTTCCTACCACCCCCACCCCCCCCCCCCTTTCTTTCTTTTCTCATTTCCACCAACTGAATCTACAGAAAATAATTACATAAACACTTACAGTGCATTTCCTAAAGCTCGTTTCCTATTGATAAAACTATAGGACTATAGGATAAGATCCATTAACATTCTTGAAGTTAAAGGAAACAAAGATCAAGCATACAAGTAATGAATACTATATTTACTCCAGCATTCTCGTCAGCTTCAAGTTCAACATTCACGACATTAAAAAAAAAAAAACTGGTCCATTACCTTAATATTCTGGGTTTTGATTCCAGTTTCCCATTCTGCAGACTTGAATTCCCATCCATCCTCATCCTCCGTATCTGAATTCAAATTGCTTGCATTCGAGTTCATTAGTCCATCAGCGTTTGGATTGGGAGCAGCAACATTCGATATCGAAATTGATCCGTTTTTGTCAGAATTCATTTGAGGTGGGCGCTGATAATACAAATTCGAAATCAAATCACTGATTCCAATGGACCCGTTCGTAGCGGATCCCTTTTTCACAGCATCACTGTTGGAGAAAACATGGGCAGAAGCAGGTTCCTCCTCCTCTTCCTCGCCAAAGATTGAAAGAGGAATAGCTCCCCGAGGCTTTTCTGCCAAAACGGCGATGCCGTTGTTGTCGTTTGCATGTTTATGTGGGGAAACCCCAAATGGTTCAAAGGGTTTTGAAAATCCACCATTGATCTGATTGGAATGGTTCACGAAGTCGCCCCAGTCGTCGTCGTCGTCTTCGACGACGTAATTGGTGTGGTTTGAGTTTGATTTTAAGGTTGAAGCGAATGTTTGATTTGGAAAAGACCCGAACTCCGGGTCAGCGATGTTCTGTCCTTCCTCCGCCATAGCTGAGAGACTCTCTGTCTCTGTTATGGCTATTGCGTTCTTTCTTTCGGTGCCAACATCGGTTTGTAAAAAAAAAATAAAAAAAATGTTATGGCCAAGGCCAACTATCACGTGTAATCGCACCACTACATTTATTATATGATATATGACATATAGCTGAATGATGAATGCTAATCATAGAATATCCCCAATTTCTTCCTACTTGAAAATTTTTGTGTATCAATTAATTACAATTATATATTCTTGGAAGAAATTATATTTATAATCTATTTTTACTTCCAATTTTTACAGTCAAATTTTAACTATTAATTTTTAGTAATTTGATATTTATAATTTATTAAAAATTAATAATTAATTAATAAATATGATTCAATAAATTAAAATTATTAAATTGACAGAAATTGATGATTACAATTTAGTTATAAGAGGTTATAAACGAAAAAAAATTGTAAATATAACATTCTTTTATATTTATATAATTGTAATATTAAAATTATTTTTTCTTTCTCCGCCACGTCAGCCGATGGCCTTATAGGGAGAAACAAAAAAAAATAACTTTTAAAATTATAATTATGTAATATCCGTATTACATAATTGTAATCGGTTGCTGAAAAGAGAAATAGATTTCTCTATAAAAAATACTTGAGTAGATAGATAATATAATTTAGTAAATTAAGTAAATAAGCTTATTATTTCATCATGACTATGCTTAATTTTTTCCCTAGTGAAACTACTAAAGCATGAACAAGTGAGTGTTAAATTTGCAACGCCGTAACTTTTAAAATAAATAAATATGAAACAACATTTAATGAAAATTTTCTTACACTCTAATAATGGATCAGAGTTTTTTTATTTTTTATTTTATTTTCAACGGGGCATCAAGCCCAACTAACAAACCACAGAGCGTAAGAACACTACTAATTATTTTGCATCTTAACTTTTTTCGTGCTCCTAGACATTTGATCTTCCTCCTCTACAGAACATCGTTTTCACTCGCTATTCAAATGTGATGAGTCTTGTATTAGTTGGTAATGGGCTAAGTGAAGAGTATATAAGTGGAAGGATCCATGAACCAAATGTCTTAAGGTTTTGGATTGAGATATGACGTCGGACCCACTTGATATATTTGGAGTAGCTTAACCCATTAGTGGTGGCCCCCGCCTGACTCTGGTATCAGAGCCGGGTTGGACTTGAGCTAGCCTGGTGATTGGCTAGGAGGCGGGTCGAGTACTTTGCGATTCAAGTGTGATGAGTCTTACATTAGTCGGTAATGGGCTTAGTGAAGAGCATATAAGTGGAAGAGACCCATGAACCCAATGCCTTAAGGTTTTTGGTTGAGACATGGTGTCGAATCTACTTGCTACGGTTGGTGTAGCCTTAGCTCATTGGTGGTGGCCTCCCGTCACGGGCTTTCCTCTGGACCCGCCTAACAATTTTGTATTGATTTTCGAGGAAGGATATTGTAACAACCAAGTTGTGTTACTACCAATCAATCTCACCGTTAGATTGCTTATGTTGATCCAACGGTTATATTTATTTACATCTTTGTATGGTTATGATTCCCTATGTTTAAAGTGAAAGTATTAAATATGAGAAATCATAACCATACAAAGGTGGAAATAAATATAAAGTATTAAATTTGAGAAATCATGGTAGTAACACAACTTGATTGTTACAATATACTTTTCCTTGATTTTCTGCAATTATTATTATTATTATTATTATTCTCTGAATAGTAATGGATTAGAGTTAATGACTAGGTTGATATTTAGTTTTCATTCAAGCGGTAGCTTGTAACTGATTCTTGGCATTAAAGGAAATTATCTATTTCTGTTAGTAGTTTTTTCACTTCTGATATATCTAATCTAAGCTCAATAAAGTATAGATGAATAGATGAAATTGACCACAACCTTTCTTAACAAAAGTTCATACGTTGAAACTTTGTATTATAGTGACTCAAATTTACACTTAGTACCTGTAATGGAAAGTCACGTGGACCATTTCAAAAAATACATCATATTTACAATGGGTTTTGCATCTATCATTTAACATGACCACAACAATTTTTTTACACATACAATATTTTGTGGGGCCCGCAATTTTTGAAACCAAAAAAAAAAAAAAAAAACTCTCATACGCAAAACGAATCTCTATAATATAACACAATCACTTTTCTTACATCATAACACTTATAAAACTCATTTACAATATACCTTCAGACATTTCAAGTGATACTTCGAGCATAATAAAAAGTTCTTAGCAATTCTGACAAAGTGTTGCAGAAGAAAACGAGGAAAAGAGACTTGATCTAGCATAAGAAGACAAAGGGTCTACATTACACTCTGCATAGTTTAAGATGCAAATTGATTTTCTATTTTTTTTTTATATAAATATTCCGGGATAAATGCATATCATCCACAAGGGGCTAAGATTTTATTTTTCAAATATATTAACACTCAAATCGCAATAAACACGATCCATTACAGGTACAATGTGATGTTATCACATGACAATCCCGAATCAACAACTTGACAAAATGGTAGTACATTCCCATATGCACAAATTTACACGAAAAAGAAGAAGAGGAAATGAACAAATGGAAAAAGAAAATCCCATCAAAATTAAGAAGCATAGGAGAAAGAGAGCAATCAATTTAGTTGATTAAAACAGTAAGTGCACTCAGGAAGGCCAGCACCAACAAGTGGCCCTTCGAAACCTGAGCAAGAAGAGAAGTTGCATAAGAGAAATCTCCAGAAGATGTGTTGGTGGTGAGAATAAGAACCATCCAGTCATTCTCAGAACCAACCCCTGCTATTGTATACTTTGATTTATTTATTTATTTATTTTGGTATAAAAGGAGGGCCTAGCCCAGCAAAACCTACACAGACAGCTGATGCATGTTAAATCTCACATGCTCTATCAGCGAATTCAAACTAAAACTGTTCCACAAGACTTCTATACTTTCAGGTGGAGTTGCATACAGATTCAACTCATCTCCCTTGCAAATAAGTCCTAACTTAGCTAAGGAATCAGCTATGCTATTACAAGCTCTGGGAATAAACTCCATGTGACAAAACTTAAAAGTCTTGATAGCCTTCCTGATGCTAGCTATCAAGGATAAAGAATTGCAGTCTTCATTACCAGCTTCTAACAGAGCTATTGCCTCTTTACAATCACTTCCCAGCCAAACATTGGATACCTTAAGATTTTCTGCTATCTTAAGACCATTAAGTATACCAATAAGCTCAGCTTCCAAAGGAGAACAAGCTCCAATATTGAGGGAAAAACCACTCAACCAGCCACCATTACTTGAGTAAACAAAATCACCACACGCACCTTTGTGAGTAGCCAAATTAACTGCACCATCAACAAAGATTTTCACCCCATCACCAGAACCCATCTTTCCATCCCACCTGGGAATTACAGAAGCGGCAGACATCACAGCAGCAGGATCTTCTCTTCCTCTCATCTTCATTTCCTTTAGATAGCACAAAATTCTGAAAATAGGATCCTGAGGTCTCGAGAAAAGCTCCTCATGAATGGTAGAATTCCTCCAAAACCAAATGAACCAACATGTCACAAAGAATAATTCTGTCCATGAATGCCAAAGGTGAGAAGAAAAATTCTTATACAAATTCAACCTGAACCATTCCAGCCCTTCAAATTGTAAGAATTTTTTGGGGATATTGCCAGAAAACCACACTTCCCAAATTCTTCTAGCAGCTGTACAATCTCTAAGCATATGCATTAAGGTCTCCTGATTCTGACCACAAGTGGGGCAGTGGAACTCACCTCCACCCCACAGGCAAGTGATGCTTCTTACTGGTAACTTATTAAGACAAGCAAGCCATATAAATACAGCTAGTCTATAGGGTCCCTTCCACTGCCACACTGCAGCCCAAATTTTGTCCTTCTCATGAATAGGTTTCAGCAGCAAACAATAGGCATTCCTCACTACTGACCTACCCGAGACAACATTCTTCAACTTGAGCCTATCCTCACTGCTACCAGAAATAGGAATGCTTAGCTTACTCAGCTTACTGCAAGTAGCCAAGTCCAGGAACTTATGCAGATAGTTCCAATTCCAATCTTCAAGATTAAGGTCATACACATCACACACCTTGAGGTCCATATCAGTCATAGGAGGCTTAATCAAAGCCCTTTCCATCATGGAATCCTGCCATCCTCCCCACAAGTCTGTCCAGAATAAAATGGATTTACCATTCCCTATCACCCACTCCAGATTCTGATCTAACTTGGTTCTAGCCAACACAATGTTTTTCCAAAGAGCAGAATCATTACTCTTTGCTACCAGACTGCGGTTAGGATCAAGATTCCTCCCATATTTTCCTAGCAATACTTGAACCCATAGGCTGTTCTTCTCCTCAATAATCTTCCAGGCTAGCTTGTGCATAAAAGCCTCATTTTGAATCCTCAAGTTGATAATACCCAATCCACCACACTCCTTTGGTTGACACATCATCTCCCAAGCCACATAATGGGCTTTCCTCTTAGACTCATCATCCCCCCATATAAAATTCCTTTGCATCTTTTCAATATCATTGCAGATATGAATTGGAATCATATTATTCTGCATATGATAGCAAGGAATAGTCGAAATGACACTTTTTGCAAGGGTAATCCTCCCTGCCATAGACAGACATTTGGATTTCCATCCCTGAAGTCTTCCCTGAACTCTGGATATGACCTCAGCATAGTGATCCCTCCTTATTCTCCCATGCCTCATCAAAGCACCTAAGTACCTGCCAAGATTCTTAACCACCTTGAAACCACTAGCATCAGCAATTGACTGCACAATTTCCTGCTTAGTATTTTTAGAGAAATATATACAAGATATTTCAATGCTAACACATTGACCTGACATCTTGGAAAATTTATCAAGACAGTTAATGATGCAACTGAGTTGATCAAGTGAGGCTTCAACAAACAAAATAATCTCATCAGCAAATATTATATGTGAAATGTGGGGGCCATACCTACCAGCTCTAATTGGG